CAATAGATAATCAAAAGCATTTGAAAAACACCAACGAATAATCTCTGATCATGTTCAACACTTGGTACGTTTGAACTTTCTTCAGTAATAAGAAAATCAAAATCTATTATTTTACTTGATTATATCTTAGAAATATTCGTCTAAACTGTTAAAGGAATAAATTTATTTTTATATTTGAATATTCATCGATTACAATCATTCAATAATACTTCTTCACGTGATCGAATATAAGAGATTTTTCCTGTAGGATTATCAGTTTGTTGTAATATTGTTATTCCTATTCGATTATGAAATTGTCGACGAACAGATCTAATCAAACAAGAATTTCTAAATTCGCTTTTCCAACGCTTACTGCATTAAATAAATAAAGAAAAAAACTTGTACTAAATGTAAGAGCGAATGCTTCAATTGCATTACGTGCGGTTGACTTATTCGATGGTGGGATATTCTTTGTCAATACAGTGTAAATCATCACAGCAACATAGGGCCATGTTGTTGTGATTAATAAAGTAATTTGACCTTTTAACATTGCTATAAGTTGTCTATCTTTACTATGAATTTGAATCTAAAAGAAAATACGTTAAAATGAATTAAATTCGATATAAAATCCTTACGCGAATATGAGCAATTTGACGAGCGTTTTGTTTTAAACTGTAAATTGTTAAACAACCAAGTATCAACATTAATGAAGGTGGTATGATAGTTCATATTGTTAATTTATAAATAACATCCAAAGTACTAGCGTTAATGTCGACAGCACATAAATTTGTAACAGCCGATAGTCGATTGTATGTCAAAGGTATATAGAGTGGTAAAAGTGCGCAGATAATCATGATAATAATAATCATTTTATAAGCAATGCGAACATGACATAAGCGTCGTCGATTGGCGTTTCGTGAACAAAGCAAAAGTCGATCGAAACAAGTCAGAAGAAGAAAAGCAACACTGGCATGACAAAACATTGTAATAAAATATATATGGGTTTTACAGAATACAATCGATCTCACTGCTAAACGATAATCTGACCAATTAGCAACTATATATACAAATGGAGACCAAAATAATACACATAACTTTGCCTAAGAACTAGCATGAAAATAAGTAGCACAAGAATTTGAACGTAATGATGACCGTAAAAATGTTATTGTATTTAATGCCCATCCAATTATACCAACAAAGAAAAGTATTGGTATACATACTTGATTAACTGTCCAACTAGCAGTATTGAATTGCATAGCAATCCAATCAGTAGTGGTGCTTGACATTCTTGTTTATACGAAGATAGAGAAGCTCTGATGAATAATAGAATCGTCAGTATTTTTACTCAGATTTAAACAAATGTTCTTTTTCTTAGTGAAAGTTATGAGATACGCAATAAGCTAATTTTTGTAACTGATTGAAGACAGAACAATCATAAACAGAACTTAAGGCGTTTCAATCCATGGGTAATGATAAAAAAATTCTGCTAAATTTAGATCTGTCAAGAGCAGTCAAACCGATTTCGCAATGTTGAACATAACAGAATCAGTTTCCCCCCCGGAATCAGTTTCATTCAATTCCCGGAACTCGATCATCATTCAACATAATAGATCGCGTAGACATCAATCGAATTCCGTCGATTTCTGGACTTCCAGGAATTGGGTCAATCTGAAATTGCACGGAATTCCTAGCAATTCTTAGTAATTTTGTCTCAAAGAAATTCCCGGAATTCCAAGACTTGCTGGAACTCGATCCGCCTCCTTTAGCTCTCTGGTGTCGAGTGTTGATGAAGTTCCCGGACTTCCTTAGAACTGATTCCGCAGTGTTCAGCATTGCGAAACAGAATGCATTCTCTCTGTCAAGAACATCCTTTATCCAACGGATCAACAAAAAACCATAAAGTTTAATCTTCTGACAGCTCAAGTAGGATTCTTTTTACTAAAGGGTGATTGAAAAGTTTCGACCCTTCTCAGTAAATCGATGATATCTATAGCAAATTTATATGAAGTTATTGATCAAATTATGCCATTTTGTAGAGGAAGATTAGAGCTATCATCTGAAAAAAAAATAGTTCGAAATACATAAATGTATTACAATCTTAT